CCCTTCCCCTCCCACCCCTAAGTCTTTGATCTTTCTGCTGCGTGAGGCAGCCGAGCCCATCTTGGGATCCTGGCACTGCCTTTTTGGATGCTGTTTCATCGCTTCTGACTCACTACAGCATCAGAATCCCACGCAAAGGACCTTTGGGGTTGGAGGGGAATTAGTGTTTTCTGTCTGGCTGACATACAGGACTGCTAGCACCGCAGTGGAGGATTGCCACAGAGCCGAGGGGTTGCTGGCTGTGTGCTGTCCCTGTTCAAGTTGTGCTGTCAGAGCAAGTTTTAGCAACTTGACGTTAGGAACTGGTTTTCAGGTCCGCTGTTGGTAATGCTGATGGGGCCATGCATTGTTAGGCATGACAGAAAGCCTATTTGAATATTTTCCTGGTGAAAAAAAGACATGATTGGAAAGTGTATCTCAGTTGATCATACAGAAAAGCAATGTTTTCCTTCACAATGGGGCAGTTTTTGATATAAATGGTGCCAGTGTCTTGTCAATCCTGTGCTGACGTGCAATTGTTTAGATTATCTGCATCCTCCCAGTATAGATTGGAGGCTTTGCTACTGTCTGCTCATGTGTTTCGACATGGCTTGTGTCAGCTCACTTCCAATTCCCCAGAATCCACTGGCACAAGAATTACTTTACTTTTGTCAAGCCCTTGACAGCAGTGCTGAAGCCTGGGCGTAGGGTTTCAAGCATTTTGCGGAAGCAGCTGGAAGGTGGAATTGCTTCATCTCTACTAAAAGCAGGGGCAGCCCTAGCAAACGTGTTTCATTTGCTGTGTTTTTCAAAACCAATTTTGACTTCACTGTAAATATTAAAAAAAAAAGTGGCTTTTTTGTGTTTGTTTTATAAGAGTTATTCTGTATCTCTGCAGAGGTTACGGGTTCGTGAAATTCACGGATGAACTGGAACAGAAAAGAGCGCTGACAGAGTGCCAAGGAGCTGTGGGGCTGGGCTCTAAACCTGTTCGCTTGAGTGTGGCTATACCAAAAGCGTGAGTATAAGAGCAGCCAGGTGTTTATCTGAGCAGCGCAGTGTGAAATCACGTGTGTTTTTAAATGTCTTTTAGTGGTTTGGGTGCATTTCCTGGATGTTTCCATCACCAAGTGAAGGAATACCCACAAATATAGTAAAGTAACTGAAGTATCAGAATGCACAGGAATTAAAAAAAAATATAACATTAGATCAAGACTAAGCATTTTACACTGCTGTTAATTGTATACGTTACTAAATACACACACATGTACACACACTGTATTTAAATATGATTATTTTTTAAGTATATGTTTCTTTGCATTAAATTGAAATAGTCTAAATCTGCTTATTGATTTCTGGATAGCAAAGCTCAATTACCTTGCTAATTCTATTATAATGTCTACTAAATATAAGTCTTTTGGGGCAGGGATTAACTTTTTTTTCTGTGTTTGTTCAGAACCTGATACAATGAGATCCTGGTCTGACTTGGGGCTCGTAGCACTAGGGTAATACGAATAATAGTAATTGCTCCCTATTTGAATAATATTTAGATTTTCAGTGACCTCAGAAGTCTTGGGGGGATAAGGAAGAGAAAAGCAGAAAAAGGGGGTGTATCATGGTGAGAAGATTGCTGTTTCCCTCTTCCTACTTCTCACTAATTTCATCATTAGACATAGCTTGATGTGTGACATATTTTCATTTTCAAACGGTATTTGTCATCTCATTATTTCAAGTCTTGATAATCACGTGGGATTCCCAGTTCCTCGGCAACGCTGCCAATTTTAGTCAGCTCACAGGCTATTTAAGTTTATTTTTTTTAGTGACTTGTAGTCCTTTTTACTTCATGAGCTCTTCCAACTCTGTGCATTCAAGACCACCCAGTTCAGTGGGAGTGGGGACAACCAGTCATTGGTTAGGCTGCTGTACGGTGGTGGCAGAAGGGAGAGGCTTTGTCCATTCATTGCCAGTTCTTTTGCAAGGCTCTCAGTCTTTACTCATCGCGTAAAGCAAGACTCAGTACCTTGTCTCAGGAAGCTACAGAATACTTAACTTCATCCTATTTATCAGAAGGAAAAAGAGACCCAAGAATTTGGATCATAGTTCAGGATTATTTTAAACCAAGGCTCGTAGTCCTGAACTCTTCCCTTCCCAAAGCCAGGAAGTGATGCTAAATTGAGTCATAAAGAATTAAAGCAGTGTTTATTAATGAAGGTGAATATGAGTACAGGAAAGGGCATTAAATTTAAACCACTTTGTTCTTTCTGCAAATGTATGCAAATGATAAATACTGCTGCAGTAAATAGTGATGATATTTTAAAGACTGAAATTTGCATGTTAGACTAAGCCTTGTCTATGTACCATATTGTATCTTAAGCTATTTCACTGCTTTTTTTCATAGTTGTTCTGCATTATTTACAACTTATTCATGCTTTATTTTTTTAAGTAATCGTGTGAAACCAATGGAATACAATCAGATGTACAACTATAATTATAACCAGTATTACCAACAATATCACAACTACTATGCCCAGTGGGGGTACGACCAGAACACAGGCAGTTACAGCTACAGCTATCCCCAGTACGGATACACGCAGAGCACGATGCAGGTAGGGCAGCGCGACCTGCTCGCCCGTCGGTGATCTGTCAGCACAGAAGCACGACATAGCTTACAGAACGGTGACGGGCACCTTCTATCTTCAACCCTGGGGTCTTACTGTAGCTACTTGACGAGGAAGCAAAACTGTTTTGCAGACCCTGGCATGGACTGTTGCCTTGTAGGGGGGATATTGCTGGGACTGGAGGGGTGGAAAGGTCTGGAGGACACAAGGGGTCTCTTAATACGGTTGTCGTGGTAGAAGGGTTCCCTTAGTATGGGCACTTGGACAGGCAGCACTGAGACTGCCTGCTGGGATCCTTCCTAAGCCTTGTTTTAGAGGATAAAACAGGTAAGGACAGCCACCCACAGCACCACAGGAATCTGAAGGACCACCACCTCTGTTGGAAGTTTAGTGTCGGTCTGCCGCGTGGAGTCTGTTGGGAATGGAACGCGGGGCTTATGTGTGAAAAATTCTGTTGTAACCAATCAGATATAAAAGTCAGTATATGACAGTAGTAATCAAGATGTTCATAAAAGGAAAGAGAAGTGTCTGCTGTCCTGAGGGTTTTGTTTTTCCTTGCAGACATATGAAGAAGTCGGTGAGGATGCATTGGAAGGTACGTTTCGCAAATTCTGTATCGAAATTGTCTGTTTGTTCTGCACTGGTTAGAGATAGTCTTTCTCAAATTGGCCCTTAACTACGATGTATGATATACCTGTATCTTTGAGTAAATCTGAGGTCTGAGAAAATTTGTGGGTGATTCTTACCTAGCACAATTGCACCCTTACTTTACATACAGTTGCTGTTCCTAGTCTGAACCTTGTCAGGACTGAAACTAATTGACTTTGCTAGCATTGAGATTTTAATCTTCTTTATTACTCAAACTTTTATCCTTTTTTAAAGTATTTTTTCTGGTCTGCTACAAAAACAATGTAGATATGCTGTTTTTTCTGTAAAATCTTGGAATTTAGACCCCAGGCTACTTCACTGTGCTTTTAGTTTAAAAAAGAAATAATACTAGTTAGCATGGTGATAAAATACTTGCTTTAGCAGTCACTGCTTGAAGTGGCCACTAAGCCATATTGGGGTGTTAGATACGCATACAAGCAGTTTTCATTTATTGATACAAGAAAAAATCATTTTGTACTGGCAGTTCCAAATATCTGTCAGGAGTGGAATATGCACTATGTTGTGTATCCCATTCTTCTCTTTAAAAATTTTTATGAAATCACATGGTAGCAGTAGAAAGCAGCTGGGTCCTCTACAGGATCCATAGGTATCAGTAGTGGTGTCAGTGAGAAAGCCCTTAATGGCTTTTTAAAAGCATGACAGGAGAGCTTTCCTTTCGCTGAAACTCACACACCAGTACTATAGTTAGAATGTCTCTGGGGTGTCTTTTTCTTGTTTATTAAATTAACGTGTTGAAATTTGTAGGAACCTGAAGTAACGTATTGCCAGTGTATCATTCCTTTTTTCTTAATTCTGTTTTCCTGTGAAGTAGCTAAAACCGAACACGTTTATTTTCTTCCTGATGTGTTTTCTAGTCTTTCCATTCAGTCGGCTAGTTGCTTTGCACTCCGATAGTCGCTTACTAACCTACGTGACTGTGCTAAGCTGATAACCTGAGCTCTAGGTTGTGGGTGTGGAGCTTTGCATCCTTCAAGTGGTTTGGGGAATACGATGAGTCGATTTTTGTGAGATGTTGCGTGTGCGCTGGTAGCAGCAGGGTTGTACCCGCTGGGTTGCTGGCCAACTCCGTAATGCTTTACAAACATTTCTTCCAACTGTAAAACAGGGGACATAATCATACGTAATTCACCGGGTCTCGCTGGCACTTCTTCGGTTACTAACTGTGAAATGCTTGGAGGTGTTCGAGGCTTTGGCAGACGAGCTCTGGTGACTCTTGCTGCAGCGGCGTAAGACGCTACCGTCCCCAGCCATCCACTCTGACCCTGTAGTGGAGGGAGCAGAACGGAACGTGTGCCTGCGCCTCCGCTCCTCCCCTTTGCGGTCCGGTGCCTTAGTGCCAGCCCACCTTCGTTGGCAGTTTAAGGGGCTACACCGGGCTGCGAGGTGCAGGTATGCGTTCTCTCTGTTGACTCTGCTATGGGGGCAGTCGCCACTGGAAAGAGGGACATGCTGGGATGTGCTTATTTCTTATCCCATTGCAGAAAGATTTACTAGGGCTAATCTGGTCAGGTTCATGGTTGGGCAAGTGCTGGGAATGTTTTGTGACTCCCCCCACATTGTTTTTAATAAAACTAATTGTTTACGGGGCATGGGGCTTTTCCTAACGCATTTGGCTTGTGACCTATTTATCTGTCTGTCTTTCCTCCTATAGATCCAACGCCTCAGTTAGACGTCCATGAAGCAAATAAACAGTTTATGGAACAGAGTGAAGAGCTCTACGATGCCTTAATGGACTGTCATTGGCAGCCTTTGGACACTGTCTCGTCAGAGATTCCAGCTGTGTTATAGCCTCGTTGCTGAGGCACTGTGTCTGTGTGAGAAGCCTGCCAGTGCGCTCCGGACTGCTCGCTGCACCTGGATCCTGCGGTAGTGAGGGGTGGCCCTTTCTCCACCCGGGTCTGGTACTCGAAGTACGGGAGGACTGTGGCCTTTCCTGTACAGAATGAGTATCGTAGGAGCATCATGGTAACTTTTATTCACGGTGAAAGTTAGAACTGCGACAGTTTTATTCCTTTTGTCTTGAAATGAACTCTTAATACTTCGTGGGAATTGTAATTTATAAACTTTCAACGAGATGGCACAGGGGAAAGACTCCAACGTACAATAAAAAAGTTGGTCTTTTAAGTAAAATTACCCTTTGCATTTTGGTTCCTGCCCATCTTTCTGTTTAGCTGCCCATTTAACAGCCTTCAGTCATTTGATTCAACTCTCATGAATGTGTTATTTTAGAAAATCATTGTTGACTACCACTAAAATGTCTCAAAAGCTTTCGAGTGACTGGGTAAGGTTGCTGTAACTTGAGCACGGGAAAGAAGCATGTAGATGAAAGCTTATGTTCTGTTTAACCTGAGCTGTGATCTTGAGTTAGCAAGTTCATAGCTTGGTGTCCTTAAGAAATCTACCTGAGGAGCATTTTGGAGAGTAAAGACAGACAGGAGTGTTATAAAACTACTAGAAACTGATGCCTTCTACCTGGTGGTCTGTCGCATGTTTGGCTTGCCTCTCCACCTGTGTATGAGGAAAGAATTCCCCATCAGTCAAGTGGTTTGAAACACTTCAACCAGCAACCTTGTTTCAGTGTTATTTTGTGTATCATGCCTTCATTGTGGACGCACCTTGATGCTCTCATTGCGATGTTAAGATTTCATAGCGTCTTCCAGTGTCCTGTCAGAGTGAAGATGGTGAAACTGAGGATCTTGCAGCAAAAACGGGTCAGAGCAATCTAATTGATATATTGTGCAACAAATTGTTGCTAACCTGGACAGCAGTTTTCTACTGGATGTTGTATAAGCTGGATGGATGAGCAATATATTTAAACTAATTTTATGCTGCGTTAGAGGTGACAGCAAAAATAATAGCACTTATGTACATGTTATAAGCCCTTTTCAGGCTTTTGTGCCTTAAACTCTTTGAAAAATAGGAGCAGATAAACTACCTGTAATAAATGTCTATCCGAGAAATAGTTTGGTAACTGAAAGTGCTACTGCAAAGCATTTAGTTGCCTCCCTGCCCATGTTGATGCAGAGATTTGCCACAAAATTTAAATACTTTCATAAAGCCTACTTCTGCTACACCTTTGTTTGTGTCCGTAATTATGATATGTTTGTCAGCCTGTGGTCTTGTTATCAGCTGCGGTGGTAAAGGCACTGTGAATACGAGGGGGATGGTGACATGTACTGGAGTTAGGCTGTTTGTGAACAGGTGGAACTAGAGGACTTCTGGACCGTTGCGTTCTCCTCTGCTGCGAGTGTTTTCCTCCTGCTGTGCATCTGTCTGTGCTCTGGGCTGTTAGCAGTGTCCTAACCTTCAGTTACTCTGAATTTGAGGAAATCAATGTTCCCTGCCTGTGCTGATAGCATTTCAGAGGCAGCGGAGAGGTGGAAGAGAGCGGAGTGCTTTTTCGTTTCTGATGTAGCTGGGTCAGCAGTGCCAAACGCTCGGATGATGCCCTGCTTCTTGAAAAGTGCCTGTTCGATAGAGTGGCGTTTCGGAGGTGATGTAAAGAAGGTTTTCTTTATGTTCTGCTGTTAAACGTTTTCTAGATTGTTCTGTTACTGTGCTGCAACAGTGCTGCCCTTGTCTGCCCTTCGTTCTGCTCTTTCAGGCCTGCCTTGGCAGAAAGAAAGTTGGTGATGATCAGCCTGAGCCATCGTAACTGACATCCCCGAGTTTTTAGGAGAGCTGTTTGTATACAGATCCCTGGGCCCTTACACGGAGAGGAATTTGGGAGTAGAGAGGCCAGCAGAGATCACCCCCTGAAGCCTGTTTACTGGGGCTGCAGAGCTTAAAATAGCTGATGCATTTCCTTTTAGGAGAGGGGTTGACGTGAGGCTTTGGGCCGCGTTGCCTCGATGTGTGAGCCAGGCTTTTGGGGTTGTTTGTGAGAATCTCAGCCGATGTCCTGTTGAGCTGTTAATCTCTCTGCGCTTTTTTCTGTGTGTCACTTACTCATCTTCATGTTCGTTTTCAGCTCCCGGCCATTGTTGCAGCATCTGAAGCACAGAGGAGACTTTTATGTGGAGCTACAAAACAGCCGGTCACCTGGATTTTGTAGGGTTTGTGTTTCGGAATCCAAGTTAAATAGAGTGTGGGATTTTGTTTGTCGTGCATGGCTACAGGAAAAGCCCTGATTAATTACCATGTAGTGTGACACCAGATGAAAGACGAGGACTCCGTGGAGTAAGGTAAATTCTGCTGTTATCTTTATGTGCTAAAGGCAAGAAATCCAAGGCAGGTGATACCATAGCTGACTGGGATTATGTAATTCTTGAGAATTGCATCAAAATCTGCAACTGAGATTATGAAGTATTCTGCCTTTCAGCACGCAACGCTTACTAATAATTACAAAAACAATTCAAACACTCTTACTGTGTTGCTTGATGAAGATTTGATGATCCAATTTAGATTACTCAGAGTTGCAGGGACTCTCGGATTACCATTTGAGTTATGTAGACTGAAAAATGTGTAGCCAGCTGCAGAGCTGGCAGGACGTGGGCGTTGCTGCTGTTGGGCATGAAGCGGTGATTTCCAAAGCTTACGCTGCAAGGCTGCGGGGTGCCCTGTTGCTGTTAACATGTCTTTAATTAAAAACTTGACAGTAAGCACTGGGGGTGGCCTGTGAGAGATTCTGACTGGGTTCGAACGGCATGAGGAATCTGAAACCACTCCTTTAGCAAACGTGGGGCTGCACCAGCGCAGCCCTGTGTATGGGCCGAGGGGTCAGCGATGATGTTTTCTGTGTGTGTCTGACTGGAGAAAATTCCTGTTACTTGGATGGGTTCCGGGAGACAGGTTCATATCCCGCACACCGAGAAGCACCCAGCACCCTTAGGGATTTCTCTGAATCCCTTTTGAGGAGCAGAGATGTTTGATCTTTGCGTACTCATTTGCTTATTACTGGCTCGCTAATCCCCAGCTTCTGCTAAACAAGATCCGAGAGTAATTTTTACCTTCCAGCCTTACTATCTCCCAGTACATCTTGTAAAGCATACTGGGTACACCAGTTTCTGGGTTTAACGTGGGATTTGCTTAGATATGAAATCAATTCAGTGGCAGGATAGGGTATGAATTTTAAATGCAATAGCTACATGTAGAAATGTAGGAGCTAGTTCAGAAAATGTCGCTCTGACAAAGCTTGCTTTAACTTTTTGCCTAGCTGGAGCGTTTCTTCAGAAAATATCCCTTTTTTTCTTTTTTTTTTAACCAAGTTACTACGCTTTCCTTCTTTAGCAGTTGTTCCCAGTCAAAACGGTTTTACCAAGTGCAGTCGGTTTTGTGAGAAGGGTTTTGGGGGCACTGCTTGGTACGCACTGTGTTTCTCAGATGATATCACGCTGCTTCTGCTGCCAAGTGTCCAGGATCAAAGCAGTGGTAGATGATGCCATTCAGGTGACACAGATGGAGAGCTGTATGTGGCCAGGGCTTGTCCCCTCAGCTCGCAGGGTCCCCGAGGACACAGCAACCCACCTGGATCACGAATTCATGCTCGCTTTTCCTTACTGTTGTTTTTCCATAGAGCGCTTCCATGCGGGATGTCTGCTCCCGCCCGTCCAGCGGTGGGAATTGCAGCCTCTTCCAGCGCTGGCTCCCCGTCCTGCCCTACGGAAGACAGCGACGCGAGGATCCCGGCCGTGCCAAGAGGTATCATCAGGGCTTCGCTGACTTTGGGGTCAGGCACCGCAGACATGCAGTGGGGTTTTCTCCACTCCATCGTCTCTCCATCGATCTTCTCATGACGGGCTGAGATCTACTGAGCATCCGTTGGTTTTTGAATCTTCCAGATCCTGTAGCATTTAGAAGATTCTCTTCCCAAACACTTGATGTTTATCAACGTTGTCTGAATTTTTGGGGTGGGTTGTTTTTGCTATGCTGAGCTCCCAGTATCTGTCCTGCCCTAGGATTTGACAAGGAGGTTTCTTGGTTTGCTTTGCACGAGTCGCTGTGCTGAGGAGAATCTGGGCTGCCCGGGGAATGCCTCGTGACTCGGCAGAGCAGCTGCAAGAACCATGGAGAAGGTGGAGGACGGGACCAGCTGCTTGTCCCATCGGCTTTGACAAGGGCTGTTTTTAGAAGAGCTTCATCACGCAAGGTTTGGGGCTCGTTTCCAGACTTATTTCTGCTTTAAATGGGTGCCGCGCTTATTTTGTTGGTAATCTGGTGTGTTTGTGGTGGGGTTACCAGCTTGAAGGGGAGATTCCTGAGCATGGTGAATTTTTTCATCTCTGAATTTTGCTCTGAATAGATTAAAAAGTAATTGTTGTTCTCCCTCATCCTTTCTGCGCTTTCTCCAGGGCTCAGGGGCAGGAAGCAGCCTTGGGCTTATTGCCCCAGTTTCTCATAGTGGCTGTGGCTTCAGCATCCGCACCTGTGGAAATGTCATCCGTCGGCGGATGCTCTCATTTTAAATCCTCTCCGCTGATCATGGATCATGAGCCAGGGACCTGACAGAGGGATCACGAGCCGGGAACCTGACCAAGGTATCCTTCTGGCTGACTGACTTTTGCTTCCAAGAAGCTTTCCTTCCATTCCCGGAGGGTGGGGTGTTCCCCCCCTACCCTGCCTTCCAAAAGGGAGGAAGAAGTAGGAGAAGCATGGCCGCTGCCTTTGCCTCTCCCCAGAGCGGCCGCAGACACGCACCATGCGGGGAGGAGCGGGGAGAGGCCTTCCTTGTGCTCCCCGGGGGTTTCTTTAGGTGCCGGGGGGGTTGCAGGTCAGGG